CGACTTTAATCACATTTGCATATTGCATATTGATGGTGATTTACACTTTCTAAAGATTACACAGGCGCACATCATATTAAAATATAAGTGCATGAAATGAGCCACCAAACTGTCTGTAATTTCATTTACCTCTGACAGTAAGACAACAGTTGTCTCCTTCAACCACCAGGGGGAGTATTATTCAGCAGGAAGGGACCCCTGGGGACAGACACTCAAGGAGTCATTTTTACCTATTGTTCTAAAACGCATTAATTATAGTAGGAAAATCTGTCACGTATTTATTGAAAAGGAGCCCTATGATTTGATGTATCGAAAAATAAGAAATGCATTTCCATAATGAACTTTAAATAGTGTCTATAATTCATAAAATGGGACAGTGGTCTCTCCCGAGTGGCGCAGTGGCCTAAGGCACTGCATCGCAGTGCTAGCTGTGCCACTAGAGATCCTGGTTCGAATCCAGGCTCTGTCGTAGCCGGCCGCGACCGGGAGACCCATGGGGCGGCGCACAATTGGCCCAGCGTCGTCCAGGGTAGGGGAGGGAATGGCAGGCAGGGATGTAGCTCAGTTGGTAGAGCATGGCGTTTGCAACGCCAGGGTTGTGGGTTCGATTCCCACATGGGGCCAGTATAAACAAATAATGTATGCACTAACTGTAAATCGCTCTGGATAAGAGCGTCTGCTAAATGACTGAAATGAAAATTAAATAAAAGGTGCCATGATTATTTTTTGCTATACGAATTAAATGCAGAATACTCTTCTAGTCACTAGTCACAATGTAAGCTGGTGGACTAATCGCTACTAATTGGCTACTTGATGAGGGTAGTCTAACTCCTGGTGGGCAATACCCAAGGTTGCAACCTCAAATAGCCTATATAAGGACGTTTCGGTTCGTTTATCTGTATGTTACTGTACAACAACCGCACGTGTTCAGCTCAGCCCCGAAGCCCGTCCCATCCCCTGCATATCCATACCAGCTCAAAGGAGGAGGCGTGGATAGGACTTTTGTTACCTGTATTAGAGTACCTGCAGCTACATGGAAAGAATTTAAGATGTCGTCAAGAGAGAGGAACTGCAACCGATGTGTCACGGCTTCAATACAGGCGAGATTCTATTGAAAAAGAGGACATTGCACCGGGTGTAAATGTACCTGGCGCTAGCAAGAACAAGTGAGAATACATAACTTGCCCTACTTTGACACAAAGGACGAAATATAAGAACGCTTCACTCGAGAACTCATCTTTCTCCTCGACCCCTCTTTCTCTCTCCCATAAGTGTTTCGTTTTTGAACACGCACGTTTTGGATCACCATCACTCTGCGACTCTCACCTGTTGACCATGGATTTCAGACGGCTAAAGATTTCAAAGGAGATTAGATTTTACATTTTGGAAAACAGAAGTTACAGGCCTATCTGCATCTGGAAAGGTTAGGTATTGTAGTGTTGCCAATGTGAACGCAAGCGAGACCACTTCATTGTAGTGAATGGCCCGTCCCAGAAGCGATTATGATCATGCACAGACCCCTCCGAAGGTGGAGTTTTTACGTCTTCTTGTGTTTTGGCATCATCTACTTAAGGCTTGGGTAAGTGTAAATGTAATACTTATTGCAAGTGTAAATATGTTTATGTTGCTTTGTTGTGTGTATTATTATTTTAAATATAGCTTACAACATGTTGTACCACATACAGCAATGGATATTCTGAATGCATACAAATGCAATGTAATGCGGACAGCTGACGCACCTACCCTTTTGACCTAAATGACTTATAACAAACGAACTAAAGAAACTCAGTGTGATCCGTCCATGTCAGTGTTCAAATGAACCTGACACCCATAGCCATCAGGGACAACAGCTGGAAGTGCGGAAAAGGTGTCCAAATATTTAGCGGTTTGAAAAAATAAGAAGATTAATCCATATTCAATCTTAGTTTTTGTTCATCTCCTCAGAGTCTGGTTGGTCAGTCGCTCTGTAGCTAGATCATTTGACCCGCTGTCTGTCTCCGCCGCTCCGGCTCACTGCTGCATACCTTCATTAATAGCCGCAGCCTGGTTGAGTTGTATTTCCACATTCCACAGCCCAGACAGAGTTTTTACCTGTTTTGCAATAGCTCACCTTGATGCATAAAGTCAGATAATTTATATATGTTCTGTCTTTGCAAAAGCAAAAACGTCATAGACATTTTTGGATGTAATTATATTCAAACCAAGGGGATGGCTATTTGCTATTTGCGTAAATACAAAGGATATTACGCAAACGGTTAATTCATTTTGTTTACCTGTCTCTATTGTAGGCCTGTATTGTCTCCAAGGTAACCTACCCTGATGGTTTGGACTCGATTGGTATGAGAACAATTATATGCAACGTGTTCATTAAAAATAATAAACAAAACATCTATAGGATATTTCAACAAGAGTTAAGCCTCATCATACAATAATCCATAGCCATTTCATAGTTATCAAAACAACAGGTGTCATCCTCCAGCTCGTTCCATTGGTGTGATCCTTGAATGAAATAGGCCTAACGGGTAACCTCCACAGGTATTGATATCTTAACAGTTCAAATAGGAAAAAAATCACTCCAAGTGAAGCGTCACCAGATATCTCAGGGTTTCATCAAGCCAAACCAGTTAGCTCATTCCCGCGCATACTACCCCCTCCCTCAGCCTGGGAAAATCTTTCATGATGCCCTCTTCACACATAATGAGTGGAGTCTGCAGGTGACGAGTGACCACGTTGGGCTGAAGCGACTGTGCAGACAGAGCCTTTCACTCACCGGATTCAACGCAAAGATGCACCCTGGAGATCCTGAGTATTAAAACGTCTAATTCTGCAGTGAGACTGTGAGAGCTTGTTGGTATTAAAACCTATCAATTGATCATTTATATACAGTTAGTTATTAGGCTATTCACAATGTATGCCTATTAATTGCATAAATATATGGTCACATTAACCTTTTGATTAAGCATTGGATAAAATTTTTGCAAGCCAATTTAATATCTTTGCTTTACGCCATTACGCACATACGTTTTTTTCCAGCCTGATGATGTGTGAGTGTGAAGCAGTAGGCCTAAAGATGAAACCGTCGGTGAGTGCGCCAGTGTTTGTTTACTTTGGAGTTTGATTTGATGAATGAAAGGCAGCTTTTCCAAGGGAGTAGCGGATCACTGTCACCCTATTGTCCTGCTGTGGCGCAGAAGTGGGCGGATAGCAGTGTCTCTCTCTGCCCAATGGCAGCCACGACTCTCATGAGAGTGAAGAAAGGCACTTTTCTGCCATCCAAAATCCCTAAAACCATCATCATTCCGGCTCGGGAACCACACTCTGTAACAGCCTCTACCACTGAGAGATGACAGAGCCAATCTCCGCGCCCGCTGCACACTCACGGCCCTGGGACTGGGAGCTAGGAGCTGCATAGCACCGCCACTCAAGCGAGCACCGCAAACGCATCGCACCAAACCCGGAGTCAGCTCTTTGATTTTGGAGCAAAGGGGAACTAAAACGAGCGACATCAAGGAATTAAAAAGGAGTTTATCACAGTATTTTTTTTCACTCCATCAGAAAGCGGCCATTTGTTCAATGTCATCATGATCATATTCTCGTCGCGCAGTGTACTGCTATCAGTCTACTATCCACAGATCTTCCTCATCCTTACGAGTGGGAGCTACCTGTAAGTTGCCCCAATCAACGGGCCCCTTAATTAGCTCACTTGTGTGATTCTGTGTTTGGAGACATACTGAGTAGGCCTATATGAATTTCATTTTCGATGTACTTGATGGATAATTCTATTGTTAAATGTTTATCCGAAAGATTGGCGCAGGTTGTTGGTTACGGTATGGTTGTTTGCTTCCACAGTGCACATCCCTAATCAAAACGATTTGAATATAAAACATACAACATGCTTGAATATAGAACTAGTCATTTAAGACAACTAGGGTATATCAAAATGAAGATATTTCGATGTCAGCGCTTTTGCACTTTGGGTGTGCATTTTACACACCGAATTTAATTGATTATTTGGGTATTTCCCCACATTCGATTATGTTCTATGGACTTTACCGTTTAAAATGACGAAATGATACTCACATTTTATTCGTTATCAAAGCATATGCTTCAGGTAGCTGGGGCATCGCTCCTGTCCACGTGGTAAATAACGGATAGAGTTATATGTCGATGTCAATTACCTGACGTACTATTTTAAGGGCAGGTTGTAACACAGGACTTGCTTCTGATGAGGTAATATACATTATTTTTTTGTTAGGTCGATTTATTCTTCTTAAGGACCCAAATCCTTCTTACAACATTGTAATGACAGATGGACACGGTTTCATTTGGCCACAGAGTGGCAGAGATGTTCAAGACAATTAAATGAAACGAGAACATTATTTCCCCCTATGTTAGCAAATCCCGAAGGTATGTATAGCTTTTACGCATGCGGTGGATGATTACCTGTCACAATTTGTGGATAGGGATTAGGATTTATGCATTACATCACCATGGTTTTATGCAGATCTACCAAGTTATAATTTAAAGCCACATCTGGAAAGTGGCTGTAAAACATCGGTCTCTGACATGTATGCACGTGACTGACACTGGTCATAATACTTGCGTCGTTGAATCAGTTGCTCTCACAAGACAACGTTTTATTTTCGGCTTAAAAATAATTACCGAACCATACTTTGAATCCATCCCCGTGCTGGAGACCCCAAATTTGATGTTAAAATAGATGTGGTTTATGGTTGCAGTTAAAAGTGGCTATGCCTATGTTTAGTATTGGTTTGCACATCAGAAACTACATACCATTGTTTGTTTTTATAATTTAAACATGCTATATTACAGTACAGTACACCAAATTAAATAGGTTTTAGGGATGAGGATGTTTTTAAAGTGGAATAAGGAACAGAGAGGATCGTGATCCCCATCCTCCAAAGTGCTCCTTTCTATCTCATTACATGTGCAGCTAATGTTTATATGTGTTAAACTCACATTGAAATTTGGTGAACTGCATGGGTGGCAAGTGACTCCTCCACACACAGAGGGATTAGTGAGAGCACGCTATCATCCCATTAAATACTATTCAATTAAGGTCAATCACACATTTAAAGCTGCCTTTATTGCACCAGGTCACCAAATGGTGATCAGTATAAGGTTTTTAAAATGGGGAACTTAGGAAATACGTTTTTCCATATTAAAGCATCATAACATCAACGTGGAATAAGACATGAAAACGAGCTCCATTGCTGTTCTACTTATTTATAGGCCTACATATATTACACTAGTTTTAAAAGCTTTTGATTACAGAAATATTTGTTATTACTTAAGCTAAATATTATGAATTGATATCATATCCTTAAATTCCACAAAATAAATCTTACAGGTTTATTTCGTTTCACAATTGATGTTCCAGCAATTTGCCACTGAAGCACTTTTGACGAAATTCACAAAAAAATCCACCTTAAATATCTGCCTCATGAGACCATTGTGGCTGACATCTTATTTCTCAGTGAAACATACCTGTGAGGTTAATGCTGTGTCACATCAAAGGCATTCTCTCTGATGGAATAGGTGTGTGTGTGTTGGTGTGTGTGTGTGTTGGTGTGTGTGTGTGTGTAGGCCCCCCCAGCCCCCCTCTGTCATCGAACCCACCACCTTATTTGTAAGAAGGTTATTTTGCCTGCACAATAATACACTGTGGGAATCCCTGGATTTGCTATTGTTAACATCCCTACGTAGCCTACTGTACATTTCTGGTAGCAGAATTGTTTCTATACTGGACAAAAATATAAGCGCAACATGCAACAATTTCAATGATTTTACTGAGTTACAGTTCATATAAGGAAATCAGTCAATTGAAATAAATAAATTAGGCCCTAATCTATGGATTTCACATGACTGGGCAGGGGCACAGCCATGGGTGGGCCTGGGCCCACCGACTTGGCCCATCGACTTGGGAGCCAGGCCCACCCACTGGGGAGCCAGGCCCAGCCAATAAGAATGAGTTTCTCCCCACAAAAGGGCTTTATTACAGACAGAAATACCCCTCAGTTTCATCAGCCATCCTGGTGGCTGGTCTCAGACAATCCCGCAGATGAAGAAGCCGGATGTAGAGGTCCTGGGATGGCATGGTTACACATGGTCTGCAGTTGTGAGACCGGTTGGACGTACTGCCAAATTCTCTAAAACAACATTTGAGGCGGCTTATGGTAGAGAACTTAACTTTAAATTCTCTGGCAACAGCTCTGGTGGACATTCCTGCGGTCAGCATGGCAATTGCATGCTCCCTCAAAACTTGAGATGTCTGTGGCATTGTGTTGTGTAACAAAACTCACATTTTAGAGTGGCGTTTTACTGTCCCCATGCAGCACAAGGTGCATCTGTGTAATGATCATGCTGTTTAATCAGTTTCTTTATATGCCACACCTGTCAGGTGGATGGATTATCTTGGCAAAGGAGAAATACTCACTAACAGAGATGTAAACAAATTTGTGCACAAAACTTGAGAGAAATAAGCTTTCTGTCTGTATGGAACATTTCGGAGATCATTTATTTCAGCTCATGAAACATGGGACCAACACTTTACATGTTAGAGCGTCTGCTAAATGACTAAAATGTAAATGTTGCGTTTATATTTTTGTTCAGTATACGCTACCGGTCAAACGTTTCTTTATTTTTACTATTTTCTACATTGTAGAATAATAGTGAAGACATCACATCTATGAAATAACACATATGGAATCATGTAGTAACCCAAAAAGTGTTAAACAAATCAAAATATATTTTATATTTGAGATTCTTCAAATAGCCACCCTTTGCCTTGATGACAGCTTTGCACAGTCTTGGCATTCTCTCAACCAGCTTCACCTGGAATGCTTTTCCAACAGTCTTGAAGGAGTTCCCACATATGCTGAGCACTTGTTGGCTGCTTTTCCTTCACTCTGCGGTCCGACTCATCCCAAACCATCTCAATTGGGTTGAGGTTGGGGGATTGTGGAGGCCAGGTCCTCTGATTTACATTTTCATTTTAGTCATTTAGCAGACGCTCTTATCCAGAGCGACTTACAGTTAGTGCATACATTTTCATACTGGCCCCCCGTGGGAAACAAATCCACAACCCTGGCGTTGCAAGCGCCATGCTCTACCAACTGAGCTACAGGGGACTGTAGCTCTGATGCAGCACTCCATCACTCTCCTTCTTGGTAAAATTGCCCTTACACAGCCTGGAGGTGTGTTGGGTCATTGTCCTGTTGAAAAACAAATGATAGTCCCACTAAGCCAGATGGGATGGTGTATCGCTGCAGAATGCTGTGAATTCTCAATAAATCACATTGTAATAATAATAATAATAATACATTGTCACCTGCAAAGCACCCCCACACCATAACATTTCCTCCTCCATGCTTTACGGTGGGAAATACACATGCGGAGATCATCTGTTCACCTACACCGCGTCTCACAAAGACATGGCGGTTGGAACCAAAAATCTCCAATTTGGACTCCAGACCAAAGGACACATTTCCACCGGTCTAATGTCCATTGCTCGTGTTTCTTGGCCCAAGCAAGTCTCTTCTTCTTATTGGTGTCCTTTAGTAGTGGTTTATTTGCAGCAATTCGACCATGAAGGCCTGATTCACACAGTCTCCTCTGAACTATTGATGTTGAGATGTCTCTGTGACTTGAACTCTGTGAAGCATTTATTTGGGCTGCAATTTCTGATAATTATAATGAACGTATCCTCTGCAGCAGAGGTAAGTCTGGGTCTTCCATTCCTGTGGTGGTCCTCATGAGAGCCAGTTTCATCATTGCGCTTGATGGTTTTTGTGACTGCACTTGAATAAACTTTCAAAGTTCTTGAAATGTTCCGTATTGACTGATCTTCATGTCTTAAAGTCATGATGGACTCTTTGCTTATTTGAGCTGTACTTGCCATAATATGGACTTGGTCTTTTACCAAATAGGGCTATCTTCTGTATAGCGCATAGAATTAAAAAGGTATTGTCGGACATTATTCATTCTAATCAGACAGGTTTTTTACATGGAAGATACATTGGAGATAATATAAGGCAAGTACTGGAAACAATAGAACACTATGAAACATCTGGGAAACCAGGCCTGCTATTCATAGCAGACTTCGAAAAGGCATTTGATGAAGTACGACTGGGGTTTATATATAAATGCCTGGAGCATTTCAATTTTGGAGAATCTCTTATAAATTGGGTTAAAATCATGTATAGAAACCCTAGGTGTAAAATAGTAAATAATGGCTATTTCTCCGAACGTTTTAAACTGTCAAGAGGAGTGAAACAAGGTTGTCCACTATTGGCATATCTATTCATTATGGCCATCGATGTTAGCTATTAAAATCAGATCCAACAATAATATCAAGGGATTAGAAATCCAGGGCTTAAAAACAAAGGTGTCATTGTACGCTGATGATTCATGTTTTCTTTTAAATCCACAACGAATCCCTCCACAGCCTCATAGAGGATCTAGATACATTTTCTAACCTCTCTGGATTACAACCAAATTATGATAAATGCACTATATTATGTATTGGATCACAAAAAAAATACAATTGTAGTTTACCAATAAAATGGTCTGATGGTGATGTGGATATACTTGGAATACATATCCCAAATGAAATAAATGATCTCACTCCAATAAATTTAAATAGAAAGTTAGCAAAAATAGATAAGATCTAGCTACCATGGAAAGGTAAATACCTGTCAATTTGTGGAAAAATCTCCCTGATTAACTCTTTAGTATTATCCCAGTTTACCTATTTGCTTATGGTCTTGCCTACGCTTAGCGAACAGTTTTTTAAATTCTATGAGAAAAAAATATTCTATTTTATTTGGAACGGCAAGCCAGACAAAATTAAATGGGCCTATTTATATAATGAATATGAATTCGGAGGACAGAAATTATTAAATATTAAAGCATTAGACCTATCACTAAAAGCTTCAGTCATACAAAAGTTATACTTAAATCCGAACTTGTTCTCTAGCAAATTAGTAAGATTGTCTCACCCAATGTTCAAGAATGGCCTTTTTCCCTTTATTCAGATTACAACCTCTCACTTTCAGTTATTTGAAAAGAAATCATCTCCCAAATATCACTATTTCTAAAACAAGCCATAGAAAGTTGGTTGTAATTTCAATTTAATCCTCCAGAAACGGCAGAACAAATAACGCAACAAATATTGTGGTTAAACTGAAATATACTAATTGATAAAAAAACATTATTTTTTGACAAAACGTTTAAAAAAGGTATAATCTTCGTAAATGATATCATAGGTAGGACTGGTGGAGTTATGTCGCACATGCTGCTAAAAAAAAAACATATGGAAATGTCTGCTCTACCCAAAATTACAATCAAATAATTGCAGCATTACCGCAAAAATAGAAGAGGAAAGTGGAAGGGGGAAAAAGTAAGGGACTTGTCTGTCGGCCCTGCATTAAAGAACATAATTGGTTAAAGAAAATTGTGAGAAATAAAAAAGTATACCAGTTTCATTTAAGGACCAATGGATTGACAGCCGTCCCATATAGATTGCAAAATAGTTGGGAAGAGATTTTTGACGTACCGATTCCATGGCATAGTGTTTATGAACTGATACGCAAAACGACACCGGATTGAAAACTTAGAATTTTTGAATTTAAATTATGATATAAAATTATTGCTACCAATAGAATGTTATTTATATGGGGGATACAATCTTCCCAGATCTGTAGATTTTGCTGTGAAGAGACAGAATCATTAGATCATTTGTTTTGGTACTGTCCATTTATAGCTTGTTTTTGGACACAGGTCCAGGAATGGCTGAAGGATTGCAATATTTACCTGGAACTAACCCTGCAGATAGCACTACTGGGTGATCTGAAAAGTCATAGTCAATCGATCAATAATATAATAATACTTTTAGCAAAAATGTTTATTTTCAATTTACAATCTGTAGAAACAATGAGAATAGAACGGTTCAGAACTTTTGTGAAACATCAAAGTACAGTTGAAAAATATATGGCAAATATAAATCCAATATGGATGGTGTTAAGAGATAGAAGGGAGGTGTTGAATGGAGCTGAAGGATGGGACTAATAACAACTAACAACAACTAATAACAACAAGATAACTAATGTAAAGCATACTGTGTCCATAATAAGTATATTTGGTTATAGGTTGAGAGCTTTTGTGAAAGAGCACAGTTAGAAAGATTTGGCATATAGAAGCAAACCGAATGGACATCATTAAAATGATCAGAGAGGTTGAGGGTAGAGGAAGTTCAGGAGTAAAAACAAACAAAATATAATTATTGTAAAATTGACTGTGTCCATAAAATGTATATAGTATGTATAAGCTGTAAGTAGAGGCCTAAGCATTGTTGTTCACTAGTTTACTCCAATTAGGGAAGGGGTGGTGGGGTTGGAAAGTAATAAAGGGAAATATATATATTTTAAAGATATGTATATGTATGTATATGTATGTTTATGTAGATTAGGTATATGTATATGTGTATATGATGATCTAGCAAGGTAAACAGATGCTCTGGATTACACCATGTGATACAGTCAGGTGAACAAAAGAGTTTGGCAGACAGATCCCAAATATCCTACAACAACAATAATAACAGCAATACCTCTGTGTAGCTTCTTGGTTAGCAACAAGTCCCTGTCCACCTCACTGACTATTAAAGTGATTATGAGGACCTTTTTTTATTTGTTTTATTTTTTATTAGGGGGTAGATCAGCTTTAATATTGCAGATAGATTGTAACTTCCATCAATGTAATTGTCTGCATCACTTCCAATCCCCCATATGTTTTTTCTTTTCTTCTCACTAATATATATATGCCAAACTCTTTTGTTCACCTGACTGTATCACATGGTGTAATTCAGAGCATCTGTTTACCTTGCTAGATCATCAGTTCAGTGCACCTGACTTCATAAACATTAGCATCATGCGGTATAGGATTCACACATACATTTAAACCACAAACTCCATGGGGGTTGTTTTACAATAGAGAAGGTTGGTGGAGCATTTTGATGGTTTTGTTTAGTAGACATCAAGGAACCAGAGTTACTTTAGTGCTCTGTGCTTCACTCATTATTTGCTTTATATCTCAATTTCCGTTTTTGATGGATAAAAATGAAGCCAAGATTTTTAATGACATTTGAGAGATTTTCAATGAAATTTGAGAGATTTCTAATGACATTTGAGAGATTTCTAATGACATTTGTCGGACCTTGATAATGTACCTGATTTCCTGCATAGTGGTTATGTTATCTTTGCAAAGGTCAAACCATTGGTGAGCTTCATTTATCATATGGTTTTGGATATGAAAAACAGAGAGGTATATGTTACTTAGGATGCACAGCAGTTTTGAAGCAAGCAGGGATGTCTGAATCGTCTCTCTTGAACTAATGAAATCCTTTGCTGTTCATTTGAGTTCACTTGGCTTAACCCTCCCGTTGTCCTAGGGTCAAAATGACCCTCCACTGTGTTGAACAAACTTTATTTAATTTTTATATTTTGGGGATCATTTGTGAGAAGGAGGCAGTGAGACTTTAAAGAAAGTATCACTGCCTCCTTCTCACAAATGATCCAAAAAATATAAAAAATTAAATAAAGTTTGTTCAACACAGTGGCGGGTCATTTTGACCCTAGGACAACGGGAGGGTTAAATGTTTGAATTTTAAAGAATTTTAAACAACTTTTGCAACTGAAGCTTACACACAACACATCCATAGTACATCCTCCTCTAGTGCAGAGGATGTATCAAAGAGCCTGAATTAAACAAAAGTATTTATTGTTGCCAGAGATGTTGTGTTGCCGTTATGGTTTTATTTGAACATGTCATGTGGTTTTACATTCAAGGTTTATTTTTTATCTGGAGAAAGCCAATCAACAGAAGATGAACATGGTTGGCCATAAGCAATTTCCAATCAATATTCACTCTTTGGGTTCTTCGAGTCAGAGGGGCAGTATGGTTTTGTTCCATAATCCTTTTAAAGGGGAATCCACAAAATGCAGTCGACCCCGCTCTCTCTCTTCTCTCCCTCTTTTCTTTGTCACACTCCCCTCTCTCCCTCTGTCTCTCACCTCCATTCCGACTATAGGTCCCTCTCCTCTGAGCTCTCTATATCTCTCTCTCCTCTAACGAGTCCCTTGCTCAGAGCCACGGACAGAGAGAAGCTCTTCTCTCTTCTAGAGAGGCTCTTCGAGGTCTCGCAGAGGCGAGAGATAGCGGATCGAATCTCGCTCGACATTCTCTCTCTCTCCTCTCTCTCTCTCTATCTCTCCTTCTCTCTCTCTATCGCTCTCTCTCTCTCTCTCTCGCTCTCTCTCTCTACCCCTCCTGTCGTTTTTCGCTGACACACAACTTGCCTGCATCAGCCTGCCCTGCTTGTGGTAAAGCCCTTGAAGGCCTACGTCATACATCAAAGCTGGCATTCGTCTTCATGCTCTTTTACGGCTACTTGTCTACTGACATGTTTGAAAGGCATGTATCTGCAGGGTTTGGATGGCTATAAACATTCTGATGGAGAAACAACCCCATTTGTTCAGCAGTCTGTTTTCTGGTACATGACTGTTCCAAGCCCATCCAACATGTGTCAGGAATAGGGATGATATTAAGTCCCAAGGCGGTGATCAGAGGTACTACAAAACAGCCTCTGAGGAGCAGAACCTCCAAGGTGTCATGTCATGGGTTAAATGGCTGCTTGATCTGGGTTAACCCTTGAGGACTAACACCTCATAGGGCATGCAGAGAGGCTGGTGTCGGAAACCTTACTATTAGCCAGGCATACTGTAGCATTGCTCTTAAAAGGTGGATAAAGGAAAGAAATCTCGCATAGGAAAGATATTTATAGGCGGTGTATTAAACTGCATGTGTGCTTTAAACACATACATCTCAAATTCTAAGGGATAACATAGTTGTGTGTGACTTCTTGGTTGAAATTGAAGGCACGGTCTAGCCACGTTACCTAACAATTAACGCAAAACTCCAACTAATTTCTCCACAATCATGAGCCAAACCAATGCGGAGAGGCACTGTCAGTAAGCAAATAAACACAATGTCATTTTCTGCATTGGATCTGTTTTACAATGCTCTGCAGCGTCGGATAATCGTTTCAGATGCTTTCTTTGCTCTCTCACCTCTAATCTACTAAATTGTAATATTTTTGTAAGACAGCGGTGAGTAACTAAGGAATGCTCATCAAGGCTTTGGTTGAATTTATTCCTGGCCTGGAGAGCCCTAAAGTCTATGTAATCTATCCTCCAGTAGCACTGACTGACTATGTTTGTGTGTGTGTATGTGTGTATGTATGTGTGTGTGTGTGTGTGTATGTGTGTGTGTGTGTGTGTGTGTGTGTGTGTCTTTACCTCCCGATCCATAGGGCCCTGTCTTCTGTGGTGGCGTTGGGTGCCAACATCATCTGCAACAAGATCCCTGGGCTGGCCCCTCGCCAGAGGGCCATCTGCCAGAGCCGCCCGGACGCCATCATCGTGGTGGGGGAGGGCGCCCAGCTGGGCATCAATGAGTGTCAGTACCAGTTCCGCTATGGCCGCTGGAATTGCTCCGCCCTTGGGGAGAGGACTGTCTTTGGACAGGAGCTGCGAGTAGGTCAGTCTGGGCACCTTGGGCCTGTCTTGGCTGGGGGGTATTCGGCTTTGGAGGGGGAGATCATTGTCTGCTGCACTATGGGCTGACGCTGTAATGTCCTCAACTATGTATGTCAGATTCAGATTCCGAGTGTTTAATAGTCACATGTACAGGGTTGCAGGTGTGATTGCAGGGTACAGTGAAAATCTTAGGCTCTGAGCTCCAACATGCAGGACTAAGTTAAATAAAACAATTTAAATGATAATAAAAAACAACAACAATAGAAATAGCACTACATACATCATAACTGTAGCAGTGATGAATAAATACATGTCAGTTGGGGTGGAGGCAGAGTAAAGACTGTTGAGGGGGGGGGGGGGGGTGACCATAGGGGGAGCAGCATGACCATTGAGGGGATTTGGGGACTATACAAATTACAATAATACTAAAATAAGTTTGCTACATTTGTGGGGAGGCATAAGGCTGACATTTGAAGAGTTACTTCAAATCTTATTTGCAGGGAGGACTGCATTGCAATCAGGGTGCGAAATTAACACCAGCCACCAGCCAAATGTTTGTTGATTTTGGCATTGGCTGGTAGAATGTCTATTTCACCAGCCACATTAGCGAGTGGTCACACAGAGCATTTGGGAGCAGTACATCTTTTTTAAAATCCAAATCCCACATGTAAAAAAGCAACAACAACATGTGTGTGTGTGTGGGTGTCAACTCTGAAAGAGAGAATCTCAACACTACAGTGGTGAAAGTGGGGTGGGGTACAGTGTTTTCTGTTATTTATCTGGTAAACAAATTGAGTGGCTGGTAAAAATTAGGGCATCCACTAGTGGCTGGTGGACCAAAAAGTTAATTTCCCACCCTGATTGCAATGGTAGTCATCGGTCATTGTTTCTGACAAAGTATTGAAGCCGTGATGGAAAAGAGGTTACATTTCGAATGGTAGCCTTCTCTAAATGGTAGCCTTAGAGTAGAACTCAATACACTACCAAGCCCCGACACCCCTAGCCTTGTGAAAAATGGCTCTTCACATGCCAAACCCAAGCTGTACACATCAGAGTCAAACTTTAACCAACTGCGCACAACTCTATTGTATAACCATACATATTGGCAATGGTTGCTTAGTGCACTCAACTCAAACTCAAGACGTCTTCATTATGTTACCATTCCAACATATTCCAGTCCGGTGTGTCCTCATCTCAGTTCACACTGTTACTTTTCTGCAGCATGGCTTGGTTTCTGTTGATGTAAGATTTGCATTGAACTTCTGGTTAAAAGTATGCCGTACATTGCTGGCTGCACCAAAGTTATGGAAAGGTTACCAGAAGCACTAAAGTCTAATGGGGAAAAAGTATGGTTGAAAAATGATATAGCAAATGAGGAGACAACCAATGGTATTATTGTAGAGAACGTTGTTGAACCAAAATACTGTAGATGGCCACATCTGTTGTTCATCTTAGGAAACTGGTTGTGTCCATTGCTTGGTTCGTGTGTGTGTGTGTGTGTGTGTGTGTGTGTGTGTGTGTGTGTGTGTGTGTACATACAGCCAGAACAAGCTACAAACAGACAAACATTTACATTTACTGTGTTTTTGTTCGAAACGGCATTCCGCAGTCCTCTTTTGCATGGCTTTTTTTTACAGGGACTTTTATACATTTCCTTTCATTTAGAAATGTTTTGTTGCTGTTAAAGTGCGGTTTGACTTTGCATTTAATCCAATAGCTCTGTTAACAATCACTGCTATTTAGGAGCGGCTGACTTAGCTCCAACCCCTCGAAAAGCATTTTTCTTTGTTGTAAATCTGGTGCTTTAGTAATGGATCTCGTCGCATTTTCTTCTGTATTCAGCATCTCTTTTGCCCTCCTTTTTCATCTTTTCTTTTTTGCCAAGCTTCAGAGAGACTTGAACTGAACAGTACCGCAGGATATACCTTTCTTATCACTGAGAAAATGAGCAGGCTACAGCATGTCTCCGATTACTGGATCTTCTTTTCTGTAGTCCCTGAAAAACTATACTGCTTATGTTTTTAGACAAATTTGTATGACTTCTTCTAATTATTTGACTCATGAACCCGGCCACGTCTATAGTCAAATCCTTAACTCAGTTAGTTAGTTGTGTACTTTAACTTTAGTGGGATGTTTCACTCCATCCTACACCCAGAGAGAGAGAGAGAGAGAGAGAGAGAGAGAGAGAGAGAGAGGAGAGAGAGAGAGAGAGAGAGAGAGAGAGAGAGAGGGAGAGCGAGAGAGGCGAGAGAGAGAGGAGAGAGAGAGGAGAGAGAGAGAGAGAGAGAGGAGACCGGCAGGAGAGAGAGAGAGCGAGAGAGAGGAGAGAGAGAGAGAGGAGAGAGAGAGAGAGAGAGAGAAAAGAACCTCTGCTCTAGTGGAGGCAGAGATGAGACAGGTTCCTTGTTCTCTACAGTACTGCCATACTGTCCACTATGATAATCAGTGGCAGTGAAACCAGGGATGTTTCACTACACTCTCAGAACTAGAGCCAGACGATGGGTACTGGTACTGTACAATATGACTCATAATGGTTAGTGATTGGCTGCTACCAGGGCCTCCATGGGCCAAATACCTGTGAGGTCAACCTTGCCAGTACAGTAGGTAGAAAGGTCATTGGATGGCCATTCAGTCAGTATTCAGCTCAGGGTTTTCATGTCCTTTACTAGGTCATCATGGGACACCACATCAACCACCACTGCTGCATCTCAACTTCCACTTCTAAAGGTGGCCCTATTTAGTGGTTCCCGTAAACACCTTATTGTCAATCCGCCATGGGTTTTTCAATGCCGCTTGTTTTGGAAACTAATTTGATATTTACAATTAGTGAACAATGAGAGTAGCCATGCTCTCTAATTATGTTGCATGTATGACAGTAGTGTTGTTCAGTGTGGGATATGAAGTCATGGAATACCTCCTTAGTAGACAAACGTTCCAATCCTTTTCCTTCTCCTTCGAATCTGCAAATTCCCACATAATCATAATCAACTGCAAGGAAAAGATCCCTGTTCCGTTCCTGCTGAAGTTTTTCATTCAAATCCCCAAATTATGAACACTAAACCTTTCCCCTTCTCAATGATCCAGTCTTCATTTTGGATTAGGAGAAATGCCGTCGTTTTCTGAAGAGTTAAAGATCAGGGAACCACAAGCCTAATGCTTTCTCTCTGTGCTGCTTGCACTTGGATGGAGTCGGTCAGTTTGGCCGAGCTCCGTGGTATTACATTCGCTTTCCAAGAAGGCACCCATTAATAGCTGGGTTATTGAGTATTACAGAACCCCAAATATCTTGATTCAAGGAAAGATTCTGTTTCAGAAAAGGCCAGTAATTTGATATTTATTTCTGTATTATATTGTAAATATAGATCCTTTAAAGAAAAAGGGGTGCTGTTGGCTAACGCAGCGCTCCTTGACACTGGCAGCTCTGTTCGATGGGACTTTAAAGGATGGATGGAAACATGGATGGAACCATGCTCATTACGGTCAAGTCCTTCAACAGTTCCTCTATTGTACAAAGGGTCGTTGGCTCTCCTGTTATGTTCTAACTGACACGTTGGAGACAAGGCCATAAACACTGAACGCTGGGTATTAAAATATGTTTGTGTTTCCTCCTATAGACATTTAGCAAGATGAAGATTTAGCAATCTCACTCACTCACGTTGTATGCCATAGCAGAATTACATTGGCACCGCTCTGTAAGTTGAGCCCATAAAATATGGAGTGAACTATCCCGTGCTAATAGGAGTGGTGTTATTGAACAGTATATTACACTCTATTAACAGTTAATAATACAATTGAAGTCAGATCCATCATCAAGGCAGGGAGGGGCTATGGATAGTCAAAGCAGATTGTCGCAGTAGGGCTGGACAGAGACATGGAAAAAGACAGGATAAATGGCAAGAGAGTGATACTCAGCAGCAAGGTTTTGATACAGTGCTGAATAATAGGGATGTATGGTGGGTTGATTCCATCAGTAGGTTATCACAACCTGTGGGAAGTCAACACCTTGTCAGTTTTAACACTGCTGTCTACTTTGGCCTGTTGCTCACCGGTCAGTTAAGATTATTAATGGCATCTTCAATTGGAAGTAGTTGATGTCAAAAGAACCCTGGTGTTATTTTATGTGAAATGGTAGATTCTAGGGAGCACCAGGGACATGCTAAGCCCCTGAGCCTGAGCACCTTCAGCTTTAACAGCCTCAGCCTGAACAGAAGAGCAGAGGGCTTGATGTTAGTGATTATAGTATGAAAACAGACACCTTTCAACGGCTACACTCAGCATCAAAGGCTCGTATAACTGCCCTGCTCTGGTTACTTTCTGTTTAACTTTCCAACCAGTTTGTCACGATAGGGATTCATGCTTTTCATCTCAAAGAGGTTCTTGTTGTGCTCAGTGATGAAATATTGCAAAAGTTAAATCACTCTAGCCCCTGGCTCAATCTTTCCCCTGGATCAATCACTCTGTCCCCTGGCTCAATCACTCTGTCCCCTGGCTCAATCACTCTGGGCCCTGGCTCAATCACTGTACCCCCTGGCTCAATCACTCTGTCCCCTGGCTCAATCACTCTGTCGCCTGGCTCAATCAATCTGTCCCCTGGCTCAATCACTCTGGCCCCTGGCTCAATCACTCTACCCCTGGCTCAATCACTCTGGCCCCTGGCTCAATCACTCTACCCCCTGGCTCAATCACTCTGTCCCCTGGCTCATTGCACAATAATGGAAAATGGTTGCAGCACCGGGGTAGGTGAACCTCTCAGTGCAGAATGAAAGAATGCTGCTATTATTTCATACCAACACTAAAAGCCTGGGTTGGGCTGGGGAATCCACTTTCTAGAATCTATTAGAGACTGGAGAACTCAACCCACAGACTTTGATTCAATGACAAAGCAATGCAGTAGTAGTCCATTCCTTAGTTTTTTGACCAGGTTGCTTTTAGACAAAAATATATATTCAATCATCAGAGAGGAGAAGCTGTCAGGCTAAAAGGCAGTTCTTCTCTGTGACCTACATTGCATTGCACCTTTTTTCATTAGCAGAAGCAGCAGGCAGCAGGCAGCAGACAGACAGACAGACAGGCAGGCAGGCAGGCTGGGAGTTGAGTTATAGCGCTGAGCCTGACTCCGTGAGTACAGCTCTGGAGAGAGGCACTCCAAGGCACGACCAGGTAGGAGGCGAACGGACTGCAAGGGAAATGCCGACCAGCTCCAACTGCCTGGTTACCAAGCGAATGAGAGGGCCGGTGCTTTACGAAGAGGAGAAAACAAACAGGGGTGGAATGTGGGAGCTGGTGGGGGGTGGTTCCGTCTCTATTTCCCCTCCCCTGGGCCCATAGCAAACAGTATCATCTCCCCAAGGAAGCACTGTCTCACTCCCACACAGTGGGCTGATGGGTGTAGAGGGGGAGCGGTGAGAGGTGTAGAGGGGGTGGGCTGAGAGGTGTAGAGGGGGTGGGCTGATGAGAGGTGTAGATGGGGTGGGCTGAGAGGTGTAGAGGGGGTGGGCTGAGAGGTGTAGAGGTGGTGGGCTGAGAGGTGTAGGTGGGGTGGGCTGAGAGGTGTAGAGGGGGTGGGCTGATGAGAGGTGTAGAGGGGGTGGGCTGAGAGGTGTAGAGGGGTTGGGCTGAGAGGTGTAGAGGGGTGGGCTGAGAGGTGTAGAGGGGGTGGGCTGAGAGGTGTAGATGGGGTGGGCTGATGAGAGGTGTAGATGGGGTGGGCTGAGAGGTGTAGGTGGGGTGGGCTGAGAGGTGTAGAGGGGGTGGGCTGATGAGAGGTGTAGAGGGGGTTGGCTGAGAGGTGTAGAGGGGGTGGGCTGAGAGGTGTAGAGGGGGTGGGCTGAGAAGTGTAGAGGGGGTGGGCTGAGAGGTGTAGACGGGGTGGGCTGATGAGAGGTGTAGATGGGGTGGGCTGAGAGGTGTAGAGGGGGTGGGCTGAGAGGTGTAGAGGGGGTGGGCTGAGAGGTGTAGAGGGGGTGGGCTGAGAGGTGTAGATGGGGTGGGCTGAGAGGTGTAGAGGGGGTGGGCTGAGAGGTGTAGAGGGGGTGGGCTGAGAGGTGTAGATGGGGTGGGCTGAGAGGTGTAGAGGGGGTGAGCTGAGAGGTGTAGATGGGGTGGGCTGAGAGGTGTAGATGGGGTGGGCTGAGGGGTGTAGTGTTGCCGGGGTAGGCCGAGCCAAACAGACGTCTAGCCAGATAAAAGTGCAAGTCAGCAGGTTCATTGAAAGCCACTCGAGTGGAACATTCTAGATCAGGAGCTGAAGATGGAAACTACTACGCCCCTAAACAGACCAGCTCCCCCGCCCTGACCAGCCCCGCCCCAGATCAGACAAGGTCACTGTCAACAGATCACATCGCTCCATAAGTCACAGTGATTAGAGTGTGTTTTTATCTCTGTTTA